ACACGTAATTGTAATAGCAGATGATATGTAGTGAGGTGCTGCAACACGAAGTGTCGTGGGCGGCGCGGCGCGGGTCGTTAGCATTCTAACAAGATAAATGCACCATATTTACTGCCTGCTTGGACTTCTCAGGATTAATACAAGCTATCTTATCTACTATTTGCTTTGATAAATTCCACATAGAACATGTCGAAACAGAAATAAAAGAATCGTTACTGTCGTGTCAAAATCGCAATGTTTGTTCGATACTTGTATTAAGTGTTTCACCAATTGTATCTAATGATACGAAATATCAATTTCAAAACGGACAACTGTCTTCGATCATACCTGTCAAAATAGAACCGCTATCACCCTAGTTGCGGTACATTCGGCGATAAAAGTATTACGCATACAGGGAAGTGCTGAGCTGTTGGATATTTGCACGCTGCACGTGTTAGATAGGTATGCCAGGGATGGGAATGATCGTGGAGAACAGATGTAGTTCCAGGAAGGGCATCGCGTGTCGCGCCATACAACTCCTATTAAGTCCTACAGACCTATGATCATGATTAGCTGGCTATTGTGATAGCCAATGAGCCACCTGTTTGTTTAACTTGCGCTAGTGCACTATATACTGCTGTACTGATATAGCTGGAAGGCATACAAGGACTCACATTGATAACTTCATTTAGTCATTGTATACTTGTAATTTTATGCACTGAAAGCGTATTAAAATATTTGAGATATTCGTTTATGCATAGATAAAAGTAAATTTTATGTAACTCAACTACATAAATGTATGTACTACATTATGAAACTGCACATAGACTTACAATTACTAGCTTACAATTTTAAAATGCCACTGGAGGGTAATTTTGTGACGAGTCCACGTGAATCCGAGCCAATGTCAGTGGTTATTCAACAATAAGTGATGTACGCAATCATACATAGGTGTCATTAAATGCCCGCATGGTTTACATTGTAATCGCTTTACTGTAGATAATCGTCCCATACACCACTCCTGCGCATGTACATATTGCGCCTTTTTTGTCGTGCTTCTCTGAATACTAATAACGATTACCATACTGCTATTATGTTACGTAATAAGTATGCTAATGTAATTATTATAAACTGTTTTACTGACAGACTTTATCAGGAAACTTTGATCGAGTGTTCGTAAGTAACGGACTTCAATTCCCGAGTCGGGCGAAATATTGTTAAGTTAACATGTACCCGTGTACTTTTAGTTATTTATGAATTCCAAGGAAATAGGGTGAGCTTATGGTCATACAATATAATTATATTTTCAGCCATTTTCGAGGAATATAACGTCCTTACAATATTATTATTATTAGCGATCTTAAAAACTTCTAGATCATCAGATCTCACAAGAATGTAGCAGATTGTATCAACATTACTGACGCACTAATTCAAGCTAAATATTTTCTGTTTTGACGTAAATACTACATACAGCTGTTTGAGGTCCGGTCAAACCTATGCATGGTAACATATGCATGGGAGTTTTTAATACATAAACAGTCGCACAAAACAGGACACTAATTCCTTGTTTAGTGCATACAAACTTCAAGAACTAGTGACTAATTATTGTTTACATACGACATAGGTTCCAAATGGTCTAACATCAAGTACCTAACACATGTACTGATTTATTTTTATTATGACTAAGTGTTACAAAGTTTAGCCGTAAGTTGTAAAGGAATTAAGTGAAGAAAATAATTGATGACTTCCTTTAGCCAGTGACTAATGTTTGGACACGTGTTTATAAGCCTAAGAATATCTTTTTTTACAATGAATCGGTTGGAATTTATGAAGTAATTTGAATAAAATATATTTCATTAACTTTGATCGACAAGATATTTGTGACATTCGATGAATCATGAAAATTTTTTGTTCAAAAAGATCGTTATCGTATCGCTACCTAATCGTTCTCCAAACGGTATACCAAACAAATAAATTACTCGTAATTTGTAATTCCATTTAAACATTCATACAAACTTATCCTTACGCTTTAGTAAATTAGTAATATATAATTATGTTATGACTTCTGACCGTAACTCAATAATCTTTGAAGGTAAACTTAACTAAATTAAGGTGTTAAAGACCATGAAAATAGAAGGACACCTGCCACTTATCTTTGGTAACACAAACAAATAGTTATCACACTCTGTAGATACGTTATACAGTCCTAATACTATGACATACTGTATAAATAAAAGGTAGGTCGGGGACCGGACACCGCATTAGTAACAAGACTATGAGTAAGATTAGACCTTACTAAAGTACCTAAACCTTACTAACAGAGGAAATTATGAATCAGCTATATGGCAAATAGGTCAATGACACATGTGTTTTCTTTGAAGCAAAAAGGTAGTCTACCTTTGTGTGCTTTCCAATTATTAATTACACAAGTTACTCACAAAATAGTGCACTTCAAACAAAGACAATATTAATTTTAGCACATAGTTTACGGTGCATGCAAATAACATTATAATCAGCGCGGCAGACAGACAGTACTTATTTGATATTATGTTTGTATTTGTTATTCACATATTTAAGGGCATATTTTAGTAATAAAATAAATATTCTTAGTAATAATCGAATAAAAATAATTATCTACAATAAAAAAATAATGATTATCAACAAGTTACCATTTATTGAATTGCTCGCAAGTTATACACCTACAAACTTCCATCATTCAAAGATCTTAAACGGAGAAACATTAATAATGTTTTGATTGATGATTCAGTGGCACGTGGTTTTGGGCATTTAGTACAAGCAACGTCTCGACACGTAATCCTTTCTATTGAGAATGCCGTTGCTCGAGCACAGCCCGTTACTTCAATTGAAATAACTGGAATAACATATCGACATCCTGAATGTCTACACAAATGTGATCACGTTTTACTATTTAAGATTGCAGTTTACAGTTTGTGAATTCATGTAGTGAGTACGTGTTCATATTTGATCGACGTTTGATTATCGAGTAAAAGCTCTAACGCTTACACCCGAATTACCGTCACGGCTCGCAGAATGAATTCTTAAAATCAATAGGTTATTATTGGTTGCGGAGCGCGGCATAACTTGTTGTTCTTTAAAATTATGATTGCCCTTAAAACCTCTTTAACTTAACATGTGGATGGGTATCCAGATCCACTTCCACCGGCATACTATTTATTTATGTTTTTTTCCAAGAATGCAGTGATTAAGACGTCAAACTTCGGGACCGGGTATTTTTCCAATTAGCATTGTTACTCAGCAATGATGCGTGATACGTGCCGTTGGACGTCCCTCGAGGCTGTAGAAATTTGTATGAGTTAAGTAGGTCTGTGGAGCAGCCGCGCCGCGGGCTGGGCCGCGAGATCAGCGCGGGCGCAGACTCCGACAGTACCCGTTACTCATGGGGACACACTGACCCCGATATGCTCATACGATTCCATTATTTAAACGCCTCCATCAATAATCCATCCTCGGAAGTACATGCTGCTCTGCTTGCTCTTATTCCTTTCACTTATAAGCCCAAGACAAATATGCTTTACTGGCACGACGTTACTTTTTGCAGTTACTCGACAACACTGCTGTGTATCTTGAACCCCTTGCGCATTTCCAAAGAATTCATACTTGTAAGGAACAATAGTTTGTTCAGGAACATTGTTACCAATACGATATGTAGACCAATAGCAGGCTACAATATTTACATTGGTACCCAGCGAGACGTACAAGTCATGCGTTTTGGTTTGTGTAACAAACAATGGCCTGCAACTTTGTGGTACCAAGTGTCAATGGCCTGGTCCCAACGCACCCAAAAACTGCCTGATTCTCTCGCGGTTAGTCATCAACATCAACATTGATTTATTTGCATTCAAAATAATGTATTCGTTGGGTTCAATGCTAAATTAGAATAAATACTTACATAATGATGTACTTGAGAACATTCCTAAATGTGTAATTTAACATGAAGCCAGTGACAGAAATATTAAACAAATACTTACAAAACAATAGAAATACTCAACAATAAAATATGAAACGCTAATACCTCTAGGTATATTTCATACTGAGGTCGATCACTCATTCGTGATGATATCTGTAAAACGTACGTTTGATTTGCTTAACAAATAGAAGAAATCTTTGAAAATATATTTAGTATTCTCTTGGCATTGGACAGACAATAGTAAACACGGGCTTTTGGGGGTATTGACTGCGGGATTAACAGTGACATTGTTGTGAGTATTCCCCGGCGTGAGAGGGAACAAAGAGCCTGCAGGCGCTCGCGCTGCTGCGCGGTTATTCAAATGCAGCGCACGCGCCCCGACACTGCCAGTGCCCAAGGTCGCCATATCTCCGTATACCATCCGCGACTAGCGAATGCAGCCCCTAATTATATGCGAAACCTTTCTTCACACATTGCTAAGCAAAAACGTTGAACTCAAGTAAATCAGAGATTATATTATTCGCCATCGTTTTCATATTATAATCTCTCGCGGCATCTACGCAACTCATCCAACAAGAAATTATCTGCTGATCCGTTGTAACGACTTGTTTAATGTTATCAAGCAAATTGACAATCAACAATGGGTGGGTAACCTTGCGACGATGTGAGATAATGTAACGTCACTAAGTACTTGTACCTATTGAGATAAACGAGCTCTGCAAGTAAATTAGCAGATTAGCTTAGTTTTGGGACTAAGACATTTCCTATTTATTATTACGCTTAAAAACCAATTACATAAAAGAAGTCGGTTAATGAACAAAATCCATTTCAATGCTTCCTTGTTGTTTCTTTCCTAGCTATAGTACAAATTACAATTATATGGGGCTCTGTTTTCATTCGATTGAGGTTTTGGTTTGCACCTAGAACTTATATCACTTTAGATTTGCACCGCACTTACGAAAGCTTTTGCACTAAGTTGGTGCCTATTTTGAACACAACCTAACAAGTCGTAGTTAGACAAACATATCTTTCGTGTGAGAACAGAGGCCTACTCCTGACATGGATACGGCAGGCTGAACATGACGCCTACTTCCAGATGTACTTAGCGCAGTACGGGTACCTGAGTCCCTCCGTGAGGAATCCGTCGAGTGGGCACATCATGGACGAAAGTTCGTGGCGTCGAGCAATCGCGGAGTTCCAGAGCTTTGCCGGGTTAAATGCGACAGGTAAGGTTATCAGCCAATATATCGGTTTATCGGTGAAAGCCTATCATTAATTTACAATTTACTGCCAACTGATGCATTAATCATACGTGTATAATAACGGTTCCAACAGTATATTACATACTATTATCAAGGCACATTGAGTTACTTTTATTTTAATAATGTGTTATATCTTGTGATAAAGATTTTTAAGTAAATTTATTTTTAGTTCGAGACTTTAATTTATCTATAGTCTCGTTACAATATTTGCTCACTTGTATACACCGTGTAGGTCTAATGTAGGTGAAATAATGATTAATTGTTTATGTTGTGACTCCAAATTTTGTCGAAACTCATTAATAAAAATATAGTCCTGAGCAAATAATGTTTAAACCAATGATTCAGTTAAGTAAATGTTGTACAAAGGTGCCGTTGTCCTTAAATATTCACGGACCATTAGACTTTGATTAAGAGAATCAATTTGTGGTTAGTGAAAGCGCAATCATTTTACTCTGCTGAAATTTTAATTTAGACTAGTTTGTGTAACACCTTGTAACAAGTCTAGGTTCAATCAAACTAGTAATCTTAAGTTTATTTTATTGCAATGGAACTATAATTCATGGAATAGTTATCTCAGTACCGTGAGACGAGTAAAACCGTGTCATTTATCGATGATTATTATGGGAAGCAAAATTAATGTATGACTGCCATATAAATTATACTTCAATCCAGTTCAAAGTTATGACTTCGATTTATCTATCACGAATGAATTAAAAGTCTATCGATCATTTTCACACGTTGTAATCTGCATTGATAGCTGTAATTGGTTTAGCTTGTATACCTACCAACTAGTGAAGTAATGTGCGGTAAGAGTTAAAAATTACTTGACGGCGACAAGTGACCAAGCAGTTCTAAGATTACAAAGGTTGACATAATTAATGTGACGCTAGCTCATTTCCGCCGCCTTGACGTTGTAAAACGGTAATACCAACTTATGTATGCTAACATGTCATTTTATCAGGGCTGTCAGCTGGCAAAAAGCCAAGTAAACCTTCTTTAACACGTTAAACGCCATGGGGGTCACCGGTGACCGTCGTTAGCGGAGGATTTACCTTTTTGTATTGGCAGTCAAAGTCTTAATAAATAGTTTTCTTTATCAGCCGAAACGCATCGAAAATCTTTTGTAATCTTTAACCCGCGACAATTTGTTCAATCTGAATGTAGATTAGCAAATACTAAACGTTTAACGGTAACCCTTATTATTCGCTCGTTAGTTCTATACAGTTGGATGGATAGCCTTCGTCCTCATCACAGTTATTACAATCACACACGTCTACGGAGCAATTTATAAGTCTGTACGATATCCACAAGCGAGTATTTAAGCACGGTGGAATTATGTGGGCAGTGCTGCGCTCGTCTCGGTACATGTACGTGCCTTGACACGAGAAGTAGTTTATTGGTCCCTACTATGACTGAAGCCAGTGTTGTTATGTAAGCAAATAACGCACACATATAAATACATAATTCATTATCGGTCACTGCACGAGTTCGGACGAGCTTGTCACAAACACTGCGTTATGATACCTTTAAAGATTTTGCGATGACGTCCACGTAGGGGATCATTTATGTACTGAGAACTGTAAGATACTAAATGAGAAGAGAACCTACGTAAATTTCTGTTTACATTGATACGAAACATTAATTAATTCTTCTTCCTGCAACAGAGATAAGTTAATATGAAGCAGTTTTCCTTGTGTCGTATAAATTTTACAACTACATTGTTATTCCCCGTAACTATGAATGTAAATCGATCGCGTCGTCGTCAACTCACAGCTGATCAGTGCTCGGGGCGACCATGGTTCCTCATTATTCATCGTTTTCCGTGTGCGGTTTTGGTCGATGTGCTTCTGTAATTACTTCCTTGTCATCGTTGGATACAAAAAACCTATGTTTGTCATTTGACACTTTGATGTAGTATTTACGAGATAAATTCAGACAAATGACATAATAATTGAAATTCAACTGGGCTCTGCCGCGATATACTATTTACATAAAAGTATTTGTTTCCTATCAAATTAGGTAGTTAGTCATGACAATATAAACCACAAAACACACAAATACATTGTATAAATATTTATGGTTGACGTTCGTTTACAGGTGAATTAGATGAAGAGACTACAAAAGTAATGTCATTGCCAAGGTGCGGTGTACGAGACAAAGTAGGCTTCGGAGAGAGCCGAGCTAAACGATATGCGCTACAGGGTGAGTGGCCGTCTGTCTAAATATTATTAACATTTATTTATTTTAAACCAGATAATTATTATTTGATCATAACCCTAACCGCCCTCAACAAACACTCAATTACTCTGAAACTTTAAGCTGGCTGATAAATATTATTGTGAAATGTTTGTCTAGGTTCAAGATGGCGTGTGAAGAACCTCACTTACAAGATCTCCAAGTACCCGTCTAAGCTGAACCGTGCTGAAGTCGACAATGAACTTGCCAAAGCCTTCGCCGTGTGGTCTGACTACACGGACCTTACCTTCACACAGAAGCGGAGCGGACAAGTTCACATCGAAATCAGGCAAGTTTATCATTTGTCAAGTTTATCATACCACGCAGTTTTCAAATTTGAGGTGGCGTGTCTACAGCCAATAGTGCATGAAGGTCATCTGTACGCTAGTTCGCAGTTTCAACACTTTTAGGTCTCTACTCTCTTGTATAGTGAAACATTGCAAGAAATTTCGAATGCTCGAAATTTTACCCATTAATAACTATTATGGCTTAGAATGTAACAGAATTTCAACAGGTGTCATTGAAACTACAAAACTATAAATAACATTGCAAAGTAACACTTAGGTAATCCAACATTTTGGTTCTGCGACTTTCAGTTTAATTTCGTATCGTAACGTGCCTAATCGAAAGTTTATTCAAAAATTAGAATTCTGTTCGTGCGAAACGAAGTTTTATTAAAATGAGTGTTTCGTGGTACGCGGCCATCGTACATCGTTTAGATCGGTGCACAGATATTGAAATCGTGCCAGTGGCCGTACCGTATTGTACGTAGGGTTATTTGAATCACTCATAATAGGTTTTTGGTCACAATCCGCGGGTAATCTTTGTTGCGTAACTCCGTGAATGGTTGTCATTGAGCGGTGGACGCGTAACTACTAACTACTCGTACTACCTCATGCAAATTACTTTGATTCGCGATGTTCATTGATTTGATACAACATTTTATTACCGTTTAATGTCACCGTGAAGTTTTATTTGCCAATTAACACTCAATTAAACATCGATAATGTTTGTTAAGCTATACTTAGGTATTTGGTTTCTATTTAATGAATACTAAGTAGTTGATATCATGTATAGTAACCGCTACATGTATACGTAATAACATAATTTGCTTCTATTCCAGGTTCGAGAAGGGAGAGCACGGAGACGGTGATCCTTTCGACGGTCCTGGTGGCACTCTTGCCCACGCTTACTTCCCCGTAAGTACAAAAATGCTTTCAGCATACATTAAACACTCAATATTGTTACGGATAACTACTTCTTCGTTAACTCGATTTAATATTTATTCAGTATAGCAAGAATATTAACGTGATATACGAGACAGGCTAGGCTTAGTATGGAAAAATTAACCGCAAATTCACAATATGTAGACAATGTATGCTATTTTCTGTAATATAAAGTCAAACACGTGCCAAGCTATTAGTGGCTATAGAGGTATATTAAACAGTGTTATAGCAAATGTTTTATCGATTTTACTATTCAGGTCATGTTGCAATAGACAATTGGAATTATAATAAGCTGTCTACAATAGTTTTTATACGTTTCGTTATAAATGACGATTCTAATCGTAGAGCACATGACGAAATGTCTGGTATTCACCTAGCTGTACATTTTTTTTACATTTTGATTGTATTTTTAGCTCAAGTTTTTGTTATTAAGCTGGCGTACCGTCGAAGGTTCGCCGTCCCTTAAACAGTTAACTATGAAGAATGGAATAGATAGGCCAGATGGATATGATAACAATTGAATTAACTTAGTCCGTATTTACGTCCATCTCTGGTTGTCTACGTTGAAGTTTGACGGTAAAGGTGAAATAACATTACGTCCAAATGTCTCTGTTATCAGATGAACTAACATTTGCACTCAAACAAAATAGAACGAGCCATTATGTGGGTGGAAATAAAAATAGCGGATGTAACAGATTTACGCCTAAACAGTGAAAGTTTCTTTGTTCAGATAATGGGATAATAAAACGTTTGATTGTGCGAAACAAATTATAATATTTGTTCTGTTTACTGTACATTGTGTTTTGTTGCGAGTGGACCGCTAAACATACGGAACACACTTTTCTTTTTACTCGATTTGCATACATTATGGACAGCGTTTAAAAGCTGCTAAATGCGTGGCTTACTGACTAACGTTACTAAGGCAGTTGTGTTAATAAGTAAAGTAAATGTTAGATATCCTTTATCCAAGTTTTAGACATTCACTTGACACTAATATTCAATTCGCTGTTGCTAGGCAAGTATTAGTAATTTTAGAACTACAATGTATGGCTATATCCCAGTTCTAAAATCACCAATATCTTTAGGAGGATCGACATACTTGTGTAACCTAAGTCGTAGTCACAAATAGATTTTTATACCTCTAGACATGTGGAATTTAGTAGAGTTCGATGGCATATATTTGACGTCAAAGTATAATAAATTATGTAAATATGCCATATATATTGCACAATATTTTCATAAGAGCTCTTAACATTCAGTTTTGAAGTCAGGAAATGCGAAGTAATCTGTGTTTACTTATCCACCTCTCACAACTAAGCGTGGAACAAAATTAACATGAGTTATTGCAGAATCAATCAATTTAATTAGCTACTAAGAAAAATACGTGCGGCCGGCTAAGGTTTTATAACAATATGACAATTATTGATTCATCAGTAATGATGTTGATTTTCCTCAATGACTGCTCGTTTGTGCAGGTGTACGGCGGCGACGCTCACTTCGATGACGCTGAGATGTGGTCCATTAACTCGAGAAGGGGCACCAATCTCTTCCAGGTAATTTCGGAAAGGTTTTTATTAAAGTATGCCAAATATTGACCTCAAACCTATAACCTTTTAAGTCTATGCAACTCCGAGTTGTTGTCTGAATAAAGAAATTACGTCACAAAGATAAAATAATGTCATCATTGCAGGTCGCTGCGCACGAGTTCGGCCATTCTCTAGGGTTATCCCACAGTGATGTCCGGTCAGCGCTCATGGCTCCATTCTACAGGGGTTACGACCCTGCCTTCCAACTTGACCAGGATGATATTCAAGGAATTCAGGTAAACAAATTGTACTAAATTAAGCAAAATAGAAAATTTCTCCTTAATAATATGCACTATTATTACTAGCCACCCGGCATTAAGTCCGCCATCGTATGTTTGTTATACAGAAGTGTTAATAAATTATTGTATTGACATTTGTACGTATGTTTCCAGGCTCTCTACGGACACAAAACACAGACTGACATCGGTGGGCCCTTGCCGGCGGCGCCATCTGTTCCACGTGCCACTACACAGCAACCTGCTGCCGAAGACCCTGCGCTCTGTGGTGACCCTAAGTTTGACACCATCTTCAACTCTGCGGACGGTGGCACTTTTATATTCAAAGGTAATAAAATATTTCCAAATTACTTTTTGATAACTGTTTACTTAATTATTCCTGTTATTATTCAAGTAAAGCATTGATATTGATTGTAAGCTGAATATATATAAGTGATGTACCACGAACTAAAATGCAGCTACGGCAAATTAAGGAAGCCTATTTACACCAACAATGCAAGTTACTGCTAATACCCCAAGTTACCGAGGAAAACTAGTAAATAAAAGAAGATAGGCAGTTTGACGTCACTCTAATAAATTTCCAGGCGAACATTACTGGCGTCTCACGGAAGACGGTGTTGCATCTGGATACCCTCGTCTGATCTCACGGGCATGGCCTGGTCTGCCCGGCAACATTGATGCTGCCTTTACATACAAAAACGGCAAGACTTACTTCTTCAAGGGATCCAAGTACTGGAGGTACAATGGTCAGAAGATGGATGGAGACTACCCTAAAGATATTAGCGAAGGTAAAGACGAAACCTTTTGACTCTTTCGGCAATATCGAATACTTTTAACAACTTATTCGCATTTGAATTTTCTGATGAATTGTCTCTACTAAATCGTAAATGTCTCGTTTAGGTTTCACCGGCATTCCTGACAATCTAGACGCTGCCCTGGTCTGGTCTGGCAATGGCAAGATCTACTTCTACAAGGGTTCCAAGTTCTGGCGCTTTGATCCCTCTCAAAGGCCGCCTGTCAAGGCCACCTATCCTAAACCCCTCTCCAACTGGGAGGGCATACCTGACAGCATTGATGCTGCCCTACAGTACACTAATGGATACACGTACTTCTTCAAGGGTGGTTCATACTGGCGGTTTAATGACAGAACTTTCAGTGTAAGTACCGTAATTGCGATTTAGATTTACGTCAGGCACTGGCTTAATATTTCAGAATCACACTTTACGTCATGAGCATTTTATATGAGTCCACATTCTAATAATAGGTAGTATATGTCTAATGCTGAATTAAATGTGGTATTCAGGTTGACTCAGACAATCCAGCGTTCCCGCGGTCGACGGCGTTCTGGTGGCTCGGCTGCAGTAGCGCGCCGAAAGGCACCGTAGGAGGTAACGCGCGGCTCTCTGACAGCGCCAACCCCGAAGGCGATGATGACGTCGGAGATATACTGTTCGACGCAGGTAGGCGGACACCCAGGACCGCGTGACTGACAAGTCTTGTCTGACAGTGACTTTATAATATTACAATTGCGACTTTAGATGACTAAATAACAAATCGAAATGATTTCAGCAAAAGAGATCACTTTCACAGAAGTGACAATGTAATCTCAAACTTGTTGTATAGAGACATAAACAATAAGCATTTATCATTAAAAACAGATAACTGAAAAACCAGTTGCAGATTACTGCAGCATGACTTGGCTGCTTAAATATTTATTTTGAACAACATTGCAGTTCAGTTAAAGTTCATAAAAAATACCTCTACTTTATTTCATTCCAAAAGAGGAAAAAACTTTGATAAATGTGATAATTATAGGCTAAGAACTCTCTTGACAATGACAAAGAGTTGACCCCCGTATATGTGACTGTAGGGGACGTTACCACTCGTCGACTCCACTGTTCCATATCTGCTCCTGTCTCTATGTGGATGTTTATCTATTAGATGTATTGTAAACTCTTCTTGTAAACTTGTCGTCCAATATATGTATGTTTTATATGTTGTAGAACCACTCTGACTCTTAATCAATACCTACTTCTGTATTGATTAAATAAATGTAATAACGCTAACAATCTTCTACATAATTTCGGTAATGGCTCTCAAGTACTAACAAAATTAACATTATTTAGAAATTTTCATTGACTAATCTATTTACCAACTATTTGAAACTAACTTTTCAGCTTTATAACGGCTTTTAATGGAAAGCTACTTAATAATATTGCGATAAAATTGTCGGCTTATATTCCTTCTAATAAATATAAGCTATTTGCTTACATGGCCGCAGTGTATTTAACATATAAAGGTGGTGTTGCCTGTGTGGTGGCTGGAGGAATGAGTGTAGCTGACGGTGTCTGGTTTTCGACCTCGACGACTTTCGCGGCTTCTGGGCTCCTCCGAACCTACCTGCTGTTGGTAAAGCTGCGGCACTCTATTATAAGAATTAATAATGTGTATTCTTATTTAAATACTATAAGTTGTTGTCTGTTTGCCGCAGTTTTAACAACGTAATCATCGAATCTTGCGATTTATTTTGGTCAAAATAATTAGTTTCACTCTGCAATGCAAGCACAGAATAAAGCACTTGCACCGATTAAAGTAAAAGTTTTGTACACCCACGTCACTACATATTTGCCGAATCGATTGAAATAGAGAGGCACGTAATAGTGTTTGACAATAAACATAAGTTATTTACGTAGTGATAATTATCTTTACTTGTAGCAACATTAAAAGCTACTTTTGACATAATACAAACTCGTGTCCGTCGATCCGGCAAATAATGCAAACCAAACTTTTGTTGATTATTCACATATGTGTTCAATGTTTGCACCAACATTTGTGTTGTTTTAATAATTTATTTGTAACGTCACCAACAACAATCAGTCACCGTGTTGTGTAATGCCATTAAACCGGTGGCTGGGGCGTGTTCACGTTTCGATGTGTGTGTCTTTTATTTCTAGGTGTAAAATCATCCGCTCCCAGATCATTCTTCTGGTTCAGGAAATAGCCTCGACGGAGTGTTCCTGAATATTGTACATAGAGAATTAACATAAAGAACAAAGACTCAATTAGTTACATAAATATAAGAATACCAGTGAGATTATAGAACATAAGCGGTGATTTTAGTACCGGCGAGCTTGTCGCGTGCTGACGTACGTTTTATTTCATTTCACTTGCATGTTTACAGCATGGTAGATAGACGCTTACTTCTGTGGTGGTGGCCCGCCAGCTCGGACAGAGCTGTGTATGCTATAATGCTTTGCTTACTCATACTTACTTATTATTCTTTATTGATATTCTTAGGCAGATACATATGTTGTATTTGGCAATATTTATCTTCCTAAGAACGTGTGGTGATGGAACTCTAACTTAGCCAAACTTAGCAGCATCTTGGGGTCTGGGTATTCTATACTATACTTTGGTTTAGGATACTAATATTTGTAGTTCATAAGAAGAAGTAGTTAGTAACTAAAACTACAATATAAGTTTTGACACCTTAGGATCTTCACGTATTTGGTGGCAGGACAATGTAGAATATAAATAGTTGTTGTTTATAAAATTCATCGGTTTGCAGGGTTGTCGAAGCATAAAATAAATGTATTCGTGTTGAACATTTAATCATTGCAGCGATTGTTTTCGTTAATTTAACGAAGGACAGTTATCACATGTAAGATAAAGTTTTTAAACAACGTTCACTAAATAAAATCACTCTTGTGTTGTTTTCAAGCACTGTGTATTCACGGGTAAACAATAATAGACACGAAAACAAAGTTAAAAAGGAACATATAGGCACAATAAACATATAACTGATTTAGATACCTATTGTAAAGTTTAAATTCAAATTTACATTCCTAAGAAACTATTGAAGATGGAAGATATACTGTCAATTAAAGACCATGACTATAATAACATAATGATTACAGTTGGACGTCAAACGAATAAAAACAACAGTTTGCATGTCGAATGGACTGGATACTTATTATAATAGCTGTCACCAAATTAGTTTTGTGACTAACACCAACGTTTAGCATGGAATAGTTACTCATTGTGTCTCAGTGAGTTTTAGTATTTAACATGCAATAAGGTAGTCCTATAATAAGGTTGCAAAAAAGTATAAAATACTCAATATTAAATACTCAAGTAGAAAAGATGCATGATCTGAATGATGTCTTTCGTCTTACTGAACAACTATATTAATAAGTTATAAAAAACAAACTTATTATTTGTAAATATTAAGACGAAACCATCAAAAGTACGGTGATGATAGACGTAATGTAAATAGTGTGGTACAGTAGTTAGTAGTAGTTGCACATAGTAGTACCGGTTGTGGGGAACTAAAGTGATGTTGCTAAAGGCAAGTTGATGTTTCAGTGGTGAGCGTTCAGTCTTCAGGCGCTAGACTGTAACATGAGGTTCACTCGGCCCCAAGCCGCTTCGTATATTAGGAGGTTATCACCACCTCCGCCGCGTCTTCACTCACCCGCATCTGTAGGTTTATTTTAATTTCCATTATGAATTCCTACTGTCAACTCCATTTCTTATTTTATATTGCCATTTACTGAATGTAAAGTCGCTTCGGTTAAGTCTACCAAAACAGATCGTGTGAACTATCTATCTGTAAATGAGAAACTTTTATTAATTATGTTTTGCTGGAGTAATAAACTCAAAGATATTAAGAAATGGATTTTACAGTATCTTACATTCGCACATTTTACATTTGTGTTCTTGTTTTGTTATGTGTCCAATGTCCTAATGCACAATAGCCATTCAGTTGTAACCACAAGTAGCGGGTACCTTACCGAGCACTATAGCACAACAGCATGTTATTATGGGGACTATCCCACTTACCCCAACCAGCTTTATTTAATGCAGAAATGAATCCGTTCTTGTTTCAAAAATTGTATTTCATAACTAAAAATAAAAGGTAAACTTAACACAAATAATATACTATGTTTAAAAAACCGACTTTAATCTTCTCTTTTTTGATGTCGGTCAATCAATATACTAAACTCTTTCCTTCTCCTAAGTGTAAAAAACACTTTTCTGGAATTCGCATCAAAATCGGTTCATACAATCGCGAGATTTTTGCATACAAACATACATACATACAGACAAAATTAAAACCTCCTTCTTTTTTGAAGTCAGTTAAGAATCGAATGGATTTATTCCTGTGTTCTAATCCAGTGATAGTGGGAAAGTGGATGTCCTCATTAATTTCTAGTTCGTGTAAGCATAAAAGTGTTGTGTATGCAGATGGGTCCGATTCGGGCGACAACAGCGGGCGCAGCGGCGCTAGCACTCGCGGCCTTATGACGCCGTTGTCGCTGACAGCACTAGCGACGCTGGTGGCGCTAGCGACCAGGGCGCTGCAGCCGCGCGCCTAGCGCCCGCCGCGCATTTAGCGCCCACCACGCGCCTAGCGCCCGCCCTAGGCGCTCGCCAGCGCCCGCCGCGCGGCCCGCGACACTGACTGTGATGGTGTACTGTGTGCCTGGACACGTTCGGTATATTGTGTATAGCGAATGCGCTACTGTGATGACGAGTGCGCCTTTTTATACTGCGAGAACGATAATTTAAAGCGAAGTCATAGTTTTTATACTTAAGATAAATAGATGATGTAAGCTCGTGTGTGATATTGACGTAAGCGACGATTTTTATATTAAAATATTTAAAGTGACCACATTCTTGCATTTTATTTAAAACCTTTAGGTATCAGGGAAAATAATACTCGCGTTTGTATTTTTAATCGGTTTATTTAACGTTTTTCTGTTTTCCCAATAATTCTTCTTAAGTTATTAATTACAGTTTTAAATATGACAATATTTTTCGTTTTTATTCCATTTTCATAAACGCATTTTTTTAATAAACATTTCACAATTCATCATAACACGGTCGTGCGACCTACTGTCTCAATCGTTCTAACTCTTAGGAAAATGCAAATAATATTAAATTTCAAAATCTGTCTACGATTATTCGAACGTGATTAATCTTACTTCGAGTGTCGAACGATGTCTACATGCGACGGTGGCGCGGCCCGCGACGGACTACGCGCCCGCTACGCCGCGCCTACGCCGCTCCGTAGCTACGGCGTAGGCGGCGTAGCGGGCGGGAGTGGCGGCCGCCGCCACCCGCGAGCCCTCGTCGCACACTAACAGTTTATAATCATTTAGAAGGCGTAACATAAGACTTATTACACGATCACTACTCGAGAAACACCTACAAACACATCCTAGATCATATCAATATATCGGAGCCCGCGTGCTGGCAGTGAGTGGGCGCCGCGACCCGCCCGCGCCCGCGCTGCGCGCCGCGACCGCCCTCAAGTGCTTATCCTTGTTATCATTATGAGTTAAGATTTTATTCTACGCTACCTCTCTCACTATGAATTAGGCATTTTAATGATATTATTTATAGAGATTAAAATTATGTTTAAGCAGTCCTGATGACAGATCGACAATTATTTTAATGTACTTTTCATCAACAGTGCAATCCTAACTACATATTTTATAAAAAAACAATATATGTATTAAACATAAACATTCAATTTCAGTATATCAAGTGTGCTTTTTGAAGTCCTCATAATCATACATATATTTATATGATCTAGAACTCATCCGGAATAAATAAGACCGATGTGAGTCTGTACAGTTTAGAACTAAATTCGAACACGCAATCACACGTTCAGTGGAAACAGTACAAAATGCACAAGGAGTGTACTCAATGTGGAACCGAACAGTACAGTCAATGAACGGCTACAAGTTTCACCTAGAGCCAACGTAACACAAAACATTTACTTTAATGGAAATAACACTAATGACATTCATTATATATACTAATTATGAACAGATAAACATACAAATAAGTAGATAGATCGCAGCCACTTGCGTTGTTACTTTCATGTATTCGGTACCTCAATATTCCTACATCTGTATCAAATACAGACAAACTTCGCGATTACACGAGCACGCAGAATTTGTGGCAACTGTCGATAGAATATTATTTTCTAATAATTTATTTATATATAAATACTATAATGAGGTACGCAACATTTAATCGTAATCATATTAAAAAAGAAATTGCCCTATTGTGCAGGTGTAATAATAATTCGCTTACTTTAACAACTGACATTGAACTGTTACAAAGTTTATTTACGATGCAAAATATCATTATATTTAATGAGGAAGGACTACCTAAAGACCATTTAATTTTTGGGATAGTACACAAGAATCTCAATTGAAATCGACGACAAGGATCTGTGTATGTGGATCGTGAGCGCTGCTAAAGATATTGGTATTTTATAACGAAGACTAGAGTATCGAGTGCTGTCAGCAGCTCGGGTAGTCTCGAGATTATTCACACGTCTAGACAAATTTTGCAAATTATGACTTAACTCGTCGAGTACCGGTTTTGTAGACACAATTATAGAACAATAGGTTGCGGTCACCGGTGACCGCTTGGTGTTTGACAGTTTAATTAATAGATAATAAAGTCTATGGGACTGAAATATCCGCAAGTATTCAATAAACAGTACTATTGTTCAACATAATTATATTTTTGTATTCAATAACGTATTGACAACCATTAAGCTCCATTACATCAAAGTAGGGACTTTGATATTTATAACTGTCAAATGCTGACTATCTTACTGTTCAGTTTCATGTGGTTGCAATATTTTTTAAATGCATTTGATGCATTACTAAGTAAATACTGAATATTTGTCCAACTTTACATACATATATCTGCTGTCTGCCTACCCGTGTACCTTATCAACAGTCAGAATAATATATTAAATATATTATTTCATAATATCGCATTAAATGGCTTTGATTTATCTACGTATTCGTACAGTAAAATAATAGGACATGGTTAACCTATAAAAATAATTTACCCAACGATTAAATTCTAAAGAGAAACTTTCGGGGTTGAAACTTGAATCGCTTACTTATGAAACTCTCCGTTTAAAATAACGTACAAATTGTTAAATCTATTTATATGTATTATGTATTGATACACTAGGTATAACTTCATAAGACTTGATACATTTTCAAATGTGTCTTAATTTACTTAACTTTTGCCTAAATTGTGGAAGGCCATATCGTACTCGTATCTTGTTACTTGTAGCAGGCAATCATTACGTCACCTAACTTCAACCACATTATGTCATAGAGGATTCGTACTATCTGAAATTCATACAACTCAAGCAGAACTGTACACAAACATCTCTCGTTTGGAACTTATAAATAACACAGAAACTAAAAAATGTTCATAATAATTTTATTGTAAGTACCACAAAGTAAAATGAAATCAATGTTTTGAGTAACAAAATCATCAATCGTGAATCTTATTCGTTGTTTCTTAACATTCAGTTGTGGTATTAAAATGAATACGATCATCTTTTAACATGAAAGCAATCTGTACGTAGTGAACTATTGTAGACATTTAGTTTAGTAAACGAACTATCACCGGCACGGTTGTCGCTAGAATGTTTTAATACCACAGCCGAGTTACATCTTACATTTTATACCCCTAAGCATAGTGACATCTACTGGCAGTCATCGAAAATAATAAATCGTACAAAATATATAATCATCACGATTACGGAAACATTCCATCGAACTTCATTGAATACTATGTATACGTACCTATTAGTACTGAGTGAGTATAACACGTATATGTATTCAAGTACATATATCACAGCGATTGGAACCAAAGTGGAACGTACCGTACGTTGCTTTGTTTATTACTTACTATGTCGCGGATAACTGTCGTGTATGTAAAGGCTACGATTTGGTGTTTTGCTTACTTATATTACTATCTGTACTTTGTGAACAATAATGTACGAAATACACATTTAAAACGCTTAATCATCGATGGACGACCCCGAAAGCCTAACCTTCTGTTTGTTTTGTGCGTGTGTGTGACAGTCAACTGAGTTGCCGCGCAACCTAAGGTGAGGGACTTAAAATATAGAACAGTACAACTAGTTAATTCCTGATTATCGAGTAATTTACATTGAAATGGACTTGAGGTAAGGTTGCCGCGCCGGCGCCGGCTACCCAGCGCGCGGCGGGAGGACAACGGAATGTCAGCAAGAGAACCACGATATGGCAGACAAACGAACGAGATCTCGGCAGCAGACGGAGCATGGAACTTCCTACGATCATTAATTCCTAATCTTTACTTCCCAGATACATTTTACAGCTAATACATACGTTTTCGTACACTGCTTTACATCAGCTTTTCATCATATTATTTGTGCGTTAAACATTTACACTTTATTATGTACATCAAAACATACGTATATTATTTCGTAAACATAATGTATACACTATCACCAAACGTTTAACGAAAATGAACAATACACCCGTACACTAAACCTAGAGAGAATGGCACAGTTTGTGTGAGTCTGCGTGCGAGAGTGCAAGTGTGTGTTGTCGGTAAGGCGCACGCCGCGCCGCGAGGTGCACTGATCGTCACCGCTCGTCTCACGTCACGCCCTTATTACTGTTTTCTTTGAATCCTGCTGACTCCTCCCTGAGTCAAACTGTTTCAGGAAGGTGACTCTAGTAAACTATTTTATCCGTTGCGCTCATATTTGTTTGTTGGGTGTAATTGTGTATGTAGGTTCCTGTGACGAAATGTTGAATTACATATGTTTTAGCTTTGTCGACATACATTGCGGGGCTGCGAGATGATTGTCGTTATTGAACAGTTGACAAATGAAAAGCATCAGTACTTAACATCCGAACCGAACTCCTCTCTTTGGTCTTTCACTATCTTCTACTCTAATAAAGTGAACGAGTGAAGACATCGATAGTGTACAGTGGCGACACCCACAAGAAGAAATGCACGGTCAATGTGTAAGTTTTAACGAGTGCTCGAAATTGATCCAATTAATTATGTTCTAGTAATTCATTTTCTATTACTAAATTTTAGACATTTTGATAATTTATATAAGATAGATACACGTTGATACCATGAAAGAGCACCTACGCAGTAGGGCGACGTACAACTCGCAAAACGTTGCTGGTTACTTTAATAAAATGTATGTGCATTAAGACCCGACTCTCTGAAATGAATTTACCGGAAACTTTCCTTATTTAGATATTCTAGTTAGACTCTTAGATTAAATATGAAACCAAACATGTAAATATTTATATATCTGTGAATATACAAACAATAGGTATCAATTTATGACATGAACCTCAATAAAGTGTTAAAATATCTGTATTCAATGAATAGCAAACAATCGATTTCAAACTTTTTATTGTTAACATCTCTCGAACTCTAATACCTACTATAAACTCTCTTGAAGAGACTAACACTATGATTCTCAACATTTTACTTTCAACTGCGGATACCGAATGTGAGTGAACAACGCGATGGCGAGACTACTCTACCGTTCCCAGTGATGGAGGATGGAGCATGAAGTGATTCCTGACAGCTAAACAACCGGGCAGGTATGCGCGCAGTGTGGTGCCACTTCCCGAGTGAAGGCACTGAGGAGCGCGAGCGAACATACTCGACTGAAACAATAACGACTCACTGATCTATTGTCACCACTTGCTCACACCACCTACTATACTCCTAGTCTACGTAGTGAACTTTACTCAAGGAATATTCTCACTTGAAAATACTATGAAAATAGATGATAGCTTCTGTAGGCGAAGTTTTGTAAACGT